ACACAGGCATGAGTTCTTTACAGAGTAAAAGGCACTGCTTGATTCACTGTGGAGTGGGTTCTCCTTATCTTCTTTCAGTGGAGATGGGGGTGGGTGTTTTTCCTATAAAGCTTTGAGTCCGCTACAGTATGAGCTTCACCTCCTGCTATAAGCTGGCGTTCAGGCTGCAGCTTCACTTGTCAGATGTCATCAGCCTCCATTATTACTTTTTTTTTTTTTAGGGACTTGACATTTGAATGTCAAGGATTGTGAACATGAGGGGATTGTAGTATTCAGGCAAGTAACAAGCAGCATACGGCTCTGCAAACATATCTGTCTGGCCTTTTAGCGCCATCGTGCTGTTCCAGTGGTAGGGCCCCCACCTACCTCTGCATCTAATGTCTGAACAGCGATGCTTCAAACTACCTGTTGAGAGACAGCGGGTGGTGGTTTTAAGAAATGGACAAATGTCCGCCAAAGGCTAGGTTAAAAATTAAATGGCTTTACTAATGACTTTAAGTCCATGTGTAAAATCAAGTCTCCAGAAGAAAAAAGTTAGGCTAGGAGGCGTAATGTGCACTTAGGTTCATTACTGCTCAGTATCAATCCATGGTGGGCTGGACGGATCCAGTGAAGGCCCTTCGTTGGAATCCTTGATGAAGCTGAGGCATAATGGAACTCTGGTGTTTCAATGACCACTGCTAGCTTGCGACAGTGCTAGCAGCCAACAGCAGTACTCTCAGTATAACACTGTCCTCTGGAGCCAGGGTTTGGAAGCCTTAGGAAGAGATTTTGTAGCAAAGATGACAATGAAATGTTTTAAGATACACTGATGCACTCTGCTCTGGAGCGGTGGGGGACGGGGAGGGGAATACCTGTAGCTTTCTGGTCAGGTGGGTACATTTCTCCGTTCCACACTTTCAAAGAGTTGATTGAATGGAATGAGATTGTTCCTCATGTGTATATACGAGATGATTGTCAAGAAAAGAGCCAGATAAAGTTCCTTATAATAATTTCCTGGTTAAATATAGTACGTCAATGCTAACCTATCCGTGCCTTGATGAGTATTTGATTGGTTAAACTGGCTTTTCAGGTCTAGAATAATTCCAAATGACTTCTGCAGAACTAAGTGGCTGTTATGGAGGCCTCTAGAGATTCCAGTGCAGCAAAATGACTATTTTAAAGAATGATAAATGTCTCTTTCTGTCATGGCAGCCAGGCCCTTGTGAAATCAGTGATTAGAACTGTTAATAATCACCAAGTATAGCCTAGAGGGCAGAGCCTCCTGTTTGTGTGATGTCCTATGTCTCAGGAGAACTCTCAAGGCTGCTTCTTCAGTTCATTATGAATGTAAATTAACAGAGTCCTTTTCCTCCCAACGGATCCTAAAGTGGCCTACAAACTACAGCACCACTAAGATGTGGCCACCTCTGGGGAGAAGAGAAGTAACAAACTAATGCACAGAACATTGCACAAGAGCTGAGGGGAGGGAACATTTTGGCAGAGTTCATAAGAAAAGATTTGCTTTGGTGAAAAGTGCCACAGGATATTTAATGTCCAGACAAAGCAGAGAATATTGTTTTAAAAATCTGAGTAATCCACACACAGTAAACTGAAGGGAACTCCATTTCAGTACAATGGAAATTTTCATTGTGGCGGGGAAGGCAGTGGGCGTCGGGAGGGTTGAGGGAGCACAGTGTCCTTTATCCTGAGTTGAAATTTAGGCAGTATTGCCTTTGTCTCTAAATGCTTGTTTCTATTTTAAGCTGCCCAGAAGACTTCAGGCATAGACATTAAAAACAAAAGTCTTAGCTCTCACTATACAGTTATTCTCCCTGGCAGAGCTGGGGTGGCTGTTTTGAAGTTTCTGATTACAGGATATATGTTTTCATTTTTAACCCCCTCGGCGTGTCTATTCAAATTACACTGCTGGCAAAAAGAGATGTAAGTTAGGTTACACCACAAAGTAATGACTAGTATCAAAACTGTATGTTGTCTTCCTCCTTCCAGTTACTCAATTGTCAGCAATGTTGTGTGCAGTCTTGATACCAACAGGCGAAATGAAGATGGAGGCTGCACATTTGCGTCTGAACTCCAGTAACTTTGTTCTGCCTAAATATATCCCCCCACCCCCACAGTTCAGATGTATAAGCTGTTTGTCACTGTTGTATTGCATGATTCTAGCTCAAAAAGGTTGGGTTTCAGTCCCAGGTGAAGTGATACTGCCTTCAAGGTACTTGTGAGTGACATGCTATAAATAGAGCCCTACCAAATTCACAGTCCATTTTAGTCAATTTCATGGTCATAGGAATTTAAAAATCATAAATTTCATGATTTCAACTATTTAAATCTGAAATTTCAGTGTGTTGTAATTGTAGGTGTCCTGACCCAAAAAGAAGGTGGGGGGGGGGAGGGGGCACAAAGTTATTGTAGGGGGGGTTGCAGTACTGCTACCCTTAATCCTGCACTTCTGCTGGCGGCGGCGCTGCCTTCAGAGCTGGGCAGCTGGAGAGCAGTGGCAGCTGGCCGGGAGCCCAGCTCTGAAGGCAGAGCCGCCTCTAGCAGCAGCGCAGAAGTAAGGATGGCCTGGTATGGTATTGCCACCCTTACTTCTGCACTGCTGCCTGAAGAGCTGGGCCCTCAGTCAGCAGCTGCCAGCCGCCCAGCTCTGAAGGCAGCAGGGCAGAAGTAAGGATGACATGGTATGGTATTGCCACCCTTACTTCTGCACTGCTGCCGGCGGGGCGCTGCCCGCAGAGCTGGGAGCTCGCCCAACAGCCACCGCTCTCTGGCCGCCCAGCTCTGAAGGCCACGCAGAAGTAAGGATGGCTATACTGCAAGCCTCCCACCCAGGACTGGTGCAAGGAAGTTTCACGCCCTAGGCTAAACTTCCACCTTGCGCCACCCTCCCACCCAGCTAACCCAGCCCCCCACCTGGGGAGCCCGCCACCCCCCTGCCTGGGGAGCCCCCCCTGCAGCCACTACCCCCCCCCGCGGCAGCTAACCCCGCCTGGGGAGAACCCCCCACCGTGGCAGCTAACCCCGCCTAGGGAGAACCACCCCCGCAGCAGCTAACCCCGCCTGGGGAGACTACTTCTTCCCTTCTCTCCCCCCGCAGCAGCTAACCCCACCTGGGGAGCCCGCCCCAGCTCACCTCCGCTCCGTTTCCTCCGCTGAGCACGCCGGCGCCGCTCTAATTCTCCTCACCTCCCAGGCTTGCGGCGCCGATTGGAGGAGACTTAGAGCAGGGGCTGAGTGCTCAGCGGAGGAGGCAGAGTGGAGGTGATCTGGGGTGGGGAGCGGTTCCCTTGTGCGCCCCCACCCCCCC